AGAACACTGGAGTGGGTTGCCATGCCTTCCTCCAGGGGATCTCCCAGACCCAGGAATTGAACCCTTATCTACTGTGTCTCCTGCGTTGCAGGCAGATTCTTTACCTGCTCAGCCATCAGGGAAGCCATGAACGCTCCTTAAAATCCAGTGCAGTTTTCTGAACCCCATTTTGTGTGGATCTAGCATTTCCAGTGGACAAAGCAGAGGAGCTGTTCTGAAGACCCACATCTAACCTCAGGGTTCAGGTATCAGCCTGCTGATTTGTTTCTCTCACAGATGTCTTTTGAGCTTGTTGTGTGTGACCTAGGCTGGCCTGGGCCCTGTGGGAAAGGAAAAGATGAAACTCCCCCTTTTTTGTGGAACTTGCATTTTAGAATCTTAAACTTACATGATAGTAAGTTAAGCAGCTGACCAGAGAACAGCTCTGGTGCTGAGAGGATGCAGGCATGAGTGGGTGTGGATGTGGGTGGGGGTCGAGGAAGACATGGCACACGGCGTGGTTTCTAGTGAATTGGGCAGCCCCTGACGTGAGACCAAGGAACTTCCAACCCACCGTTGGGGCCCCCCTGCCTAACGGGGACAGTAATGGGACCAGGACATCACAGCTGGAAGGCGGGGCCCCTGACTTTGAGGGGCCCTCAGAGCCGTGGGGAGCCGGGCATACCCAGGACTGACGCTGTGGGTGGCCCAGGAGCTGGGGGTGGACGATCGGACAAAGGGAGGCATGAAAAGGCAGGGAGGTCTGCAGGAGGCCTGGCCTGTGCCCCAGCAGCGAGGGGCCTGGCACAGCTGAGAGCAGAGTGGCGGGGGTGGGGCGTGGAGACTGGTTGAGCCGCACGGCAAATGGGGGCAGTGCCAGGGCTGGAGCGCGGGGTCCCTGACTCGGAGCCCAGCACTCGGCTCTGTATCCCACAGCCTGGGTTGTGTGGCTGGGGGTTGGACTTGGGGAAGCAGGAAGACACACGCCAGAGTCTGCTTTGTAAACCTCGGGCCACCGATTGGGGCTGTCACATGGCTGAGAAGAAGGGTGATGAGGGGCCCTGATGACAGGGATGAAGGCGGGGGTGTAGCTTCAGAATACAGTTGGTGGTCAGGTTGGCAGGACCTGATGCTACTGCTGGAATGTGGAGGAAGCGGAGGGAAGTGAGAAGGCTGACTCCAGCCTGAGCACCAGGGGACAACCTGGAGGTGCCTAGACGTCCCATGGGACCAGGTCTGTGCTTGCGTCCACATCCTCAGCTGGTTCCACACCTTCCCCACCTGACTGGCCTCTCCCGTTCCTGCCGAACCTCAGAGACCCAGCTCCAGCCTCGCCGACTTGGCCAGGAGAAGGCCAAAGCCCTTCCTGAGACCCTCCAACCTGTCTCTCTAGCCGCTGGTCCTGGTTTCACGCTGCTGTGGCGGGCTCTTGGCCCCAGGTTCTTCATCCATGTGCACGCATCCAGCAGTTGTTTCATTGAGCACAAGACCAGGTCTCACCACTCTGGGGGCCAGAACTAAGGATCTGCAGTGGAAGGCAAAGGCATGAGTGAAAAATGGGCTAGAGCAAGGGGAGCAGATAGCAGTTCTTGTCCCAAGCGAGAGCGGTGCTGCCTCAAGTCCTGCGCAGGGGGTTCTGGGGCGGCATCTGGGCTTTTCTGCAGAGGATGGTGGTCCATTAGTGATACCTGGCATGGGCACGGGAAAGGTGTGGCCACGTATGAGCCATTTACAGGTGCGCTCTCGATGACATGATCTATACTGTTTGGACAGCCTGTAGCTACATGTTCAGGTGTCTGGGATGGCTGAGGGGACAGACAGACTGGGAGGGCCTCTTAGGAGAGCTGGGTCAGCACTGCGTCTCACCTCTCATAGCACTCTCCACTTGGCATCCATTACGTAATGATGCCCCTAAACCACCTTTTGTACCCTGACTCTGGGCTCTCAGACTTTGGCTTACAAAAGGGATTGTTCTAGCCAACGCCTGCCAGCCAGCGGTTTCCTTTAGCAGCCTGACTCATTGTCCACACTGTGGTCTTTGGGCACTGTACCTGAATGTTTTATTTCCCTTATGGTTTTGCAAAATGAATGTTGAAGAGGAGGGTGTGGGTACCAGTGGAGGGAGTTGAGTTCTCCTAAATATTGTGTGGAAGCGGAGCACCCATTTAGGACTCTGAACATTGGAGTTGCTTCAGAATGATGATCAGCCACTTCATAACTCGTGCCCCTGTGCTGACTGTCCACTCTGCCTGCTTCCAGGACACTCCAGAGGTACGTGTGGCCAGCTTACAAGTGACACCTCGTGACACACCATTGGCCCAGTCCACTCACTACAGACCAGGCGGGGCATAAGCAGAATGTCAAGTCACACCAAGATGGTCCCACAGATTGAAGGACAAATGTCTATGATTTTCCTTTGTTCTTACGTTTCACATAGTAACACTTTTTTTCCCCTGATTTAGTGAGCATTGAGAATTAAGCTCCAGAAATATCATTAGTCAGGCCCTAGGCATTCTGGATAATTAATCTTCCACCATATAGCAGAAACAGAAGTGGGAATTATACAATGAAAGCAATAGAGTTTAGCCTCCCCAGCTTCCTAGACAGAAGCTAGTTGACTAGGGGGCTTTCATTTTGAAGGCAGGAGAATCAAACATTTATCTGAAATGCTGAAGATCTATGATAGACAGATTGTGCTAAGAGAGGTGGAGATTATATAGCACTCTTGCTCTCTGGGCAGGAACCTGGTCTCTAATTTCTTCTTATTATTGTTATTATTATGTATGTAATATGTATACAACCCTATGAACTGTAGCCCACCTGGCTCCTCTGTCCAGGGGATTCTCCAGGCAAGAATACTGAAGTGGGTTGCCATTCCCTTCTCCAGGGGATCTTTCCGACCCAGGGATCAAACCTACGTCTCCTGCATTGGAAGGCAGATTCTTTACCCCTAGTGCAACCTGGGATGTTTTATTATACTACTAATAATGACTGCTGGTCTCTCATTATATATTTAACTTGCTTTTACCTTCTCTAGATTACAATTTGTGATGGCAAGAGATGGTTTGCGTTGATTACATGACGTGTGGACTGAACACGGATGCCAAAATCTGTGGGGCAGGACTGTGGGCGGCCTGAGGGTGGCATGGTCACCGCAGGTTGGGGACAGTGTCTAGACGAGGTTATCCAACCTTCCAGGTTGTGTCAATAGCGGGACCCATTGACACCACCCCCAGATGGTTCTTATTTTTTTTATTTTTGAGGGCTGAGTTAAAATTACCAACCAAATGACTCGACTTCTCTGAGAGTCACATCTCTAAAGATGGGGGAGATAACACTGAATTCGCATTGCTGTCATGAGAGTCACATACACAGCCCAGTGGTTGATCACATGACCTTGAAGTCATGACCTTTACCACAGGCCTCCTTCTAAATTCACATCAGCCATTCCTTAGCTGGGCCATCCTGAGTTAGCATCTAGGATGCTAGATACCTTCTTCATATCTAATAAGAGGATAATCATCACTGTCTGAAGAATGAATGACTGGCGTGTGGAAGTGGTAAATAAACAGCCATTTCTATCGTCCTGTGTAAAGTGTCCACGTGCGGTAGGATTTTACTTGTTCCTTCTTCCTTTTCTCCACGTTTCCTGTGTCCTGAAACTCTTCTTCATCCTTTATGGGTCAACAGCTGGATCACCTCCTTAGAGAAGCCCTCCCTGACTGTCCCTGAGGTTAGCTACTCGCTTCTCTGTGCTTCACCATCCTCTGTGTTCCCCCAGTTATGCAGTGGCTTCTTTATCTACTACATACATGTCTGTCTTTTTTTTTTTTTTTTACCAGTGGGGAAGACTCTTGAACAGAAACCCTCATCCTTTGACCACCCCCCACTTTATCGAGGAGTCTAGCTCAGTGCTCCGTTCATAGGAGTGAGTAGGGGGGTGAGTAAGTAAATACTGTAAATAAATGAGTGGAGTGAAGGCCTGAGCCGCTGGTAGAAGAAACCCTGCCTTGCAAAGGGGTGAGAGGCTCCAGAGTAATGGAGGGATTAAGATCTAATACGTAGGTCCTTTACCTGAGGAATCGGAGCCTCTGGGCCATCCAAAAGCTGGTGCGCGTGATCTGTAAACGGAGAGGGGGAGTTTGTCCACGGTTGTCAGGAGAGTTTCAGAAGTGTCTGCGGCCCCCAGAGGTTAACAAGTTGCTGCTCTAAATAGAGGAGCCAAATGACTGGAGGCGAAGATGTGCGGGAGGACGACTGCGACCAGGAGCGGTCACTGAGTGCGGAGGGAACCCCGGGCAGACAGGAACCCCCGCGACCCATCACGGTGTGGCCATCTCCTCCTACGCTGCTCCTGCTCAGGGACGCATGGGGAAGAGTCTGTCTCTTCCCTGCCCTGATTCTTGCATAGCATCCTTGGGCTGCAGTGGCCAGTCAGGTTCATCAGTCCCCTCCTTCCAGGCGGACCATGCCGGACTGATTCCAGGAAAATGGCACCCTCAGCAGCTCCCCAGCCTCCTCTCCCCTTCCCGTTCCCTTCTCTGCTTTGTCCTGTCTTCTTCTGTCCTGTCTTTGGCTATGAAAACTTGATTTTCTGTTAAGAGCAGTGATTTTCAAAAACTTGGGTCTTGACCCGTTGGTAAAGTGTGACGTGAATTTAAAGGATCATGACCATTTTTTTTTTTTTCCAAATGGAACCATCTGATAAAAAGTCTTAGAGTCCATCACACATGCGAGATGAGCATAAGTCTGCTAAACTTCCTGTCTTGGCTCTGTGTGTGTACGGGTTGTGGTATCGTATGTATTTCTTTCTTCGGTGCCAGTCAGAAGAAGATTGGAGAGGACCACTGATACAGCACCGCCCATGGACTCTCAGGAGATGCTCACTGCAAGATCTGGCCTTGAGGGGAGAACACGTGTGTTAGGGCTCTTGCTGCTGGCAAGAAGGTGGCGGAGGGGGGAGCTGCTGCATTGCCCATCACCATCACCCCTTCTTGACCCTTGCCCTCCTCTCCTGGCAGGTGGTGTATGTCACCGCGACGTTCCCCTATGTCATGCTGCTGATCCTCCTGATCCGAGGGGTCACGTTGCCTGGGGCCTCCGAAGGCGTCAAGTTCTACCTGTACCCTGACCTCTCCCGGCTCTCCGACCCACAGGTAAGAGTCACTGGCTCTGGGCACAGCCAGCCGCCACCTCCACGGAGGCTTCTCCATGGAGGCTCAGTGGCCCTGTCGAGTAGTTGGAAGGTCTGTGGCCTCCTTCTCAGAATCATACTTCTCAATGCATAAAACAGGGAGTCAGATATATTGAAATACAATCAGCAAAACATGAGAAAAGACAGATTTTGTGACACGGTCATGTAACAAGTGACTTAGCACAGCACAGTGTAGCAAGATCCAGCATATGATGAATAGTTTCCATGATTTCAAAGCAGTGATGAGCATAAATGGTATTTGGAAGTATCTATACCATGATATGAAAATATCTGGGGTTTCAACTGCTAACAGGGCTTCCCTAGCGGCTCAGACAATAGAGGATCCGCCTATAATCCAGGAGACCCAGGTACATTCCCTAGGTCAGGAAAATCTCCAGGAGAAGGGCATGGCAACCCACTCCAGTATTCTTGCCTGAAGGATTCCATGGACAGAGGAGCCTGGCAGGCTGCAGTCTTTGGGGTTGCAGAGAGTTGGACACTGCTGAGCGACTAAGCACATGTATGCATACTGCTGCTTGGACTGTGGTCTACTGCCTGCATTCATAATTGAAGGAATTGCTCAGTTAGAGGCCAGTAAAAATAAAAACACACTTTTTCCCCACCTGAGAACACAGATCTCTGCAGCTGTGGTTCTCTGAGAGAAACTGGATCTTGGCGATTTTCTTTGCGGGGGGTTTGCTCACAGAAAGAAAATAAGGGGTGACCTGGCCAGGCTGTTAGTTGTCTTTGGAAAGGCATCAGCCGTTCTGAATCCTGGGTGGGACTGTTTATGCTGAAGCATCTCCAGGTGGGCAGGGGTGGTGTGTGTGCCTGAGGGTGTTAGACAAGAGATGAAGACAGCATCTTAGGGGATCAAGTCTTTCCAACCCCCACCACTTGTTAGAAAGCCCTGGGGAGCTTTAGAAAATCCCGATTCCCAGAGCACAACCCAGACCAATGAAAGCAAATGCTCTGGGGGCGGGTCCCAGGGCTCAGTGCTATTTGAGGGCCCCCTGGCAGCTCCAACATGTGAAATAACATACTCACAGATATCCCAGTGGGTGAGAAGGTGCTCGTTTTTCTGTGAAAACAAACACAGATTACAGAGTAGAGTGCAGAATCTGTGTTCAGCTGATCACAAAACTTGCAAGAGATGTGTCGAATGAAAAATATAATAACAACCAGAAAGTAGAGTTACTTTATTTGGTGGGAATGTTTAGGACTCCAAGCCTGGGAAGACAGCATCTCAGTAGCTCTGAGAAAACTGCTCCAAGGAGACAGGAGGGGAAGTCAAGCTATATACAAGTTTGCAACAAAGGGAGCAGGCGGTCTGAACAGTGAAGATCAGATATCAAGTTAAAGAATTTCCCATTCTATATATGGGAAGATGCAGGCTTCTGGGCTCACTGAATTCATTCCTTTCCTGTGGACCTCAGCTGTCTAGGGACAATCCTATCTCCTTGTTCACCTTCTTGCATTCCCCCAGTGCCTCAGCTGTCACCTTGGGGGGTGGCAGCATCTGCTGGGTTGCAGTTTAGGGAGCCCTCATTCACATTTGGAGGCTGGAAATCGCTGATGGCTGTGACATTTCTTGTTTGTTAATATGGCAGGAGATATTTTCATTCACAGATGTCACGTCCATTGTCTCGGCTGAGGCTGCCCCCTGTTAGGAAGGTGGGGGTGGGAACATTTGAGGAGGCCTGGTTTGTGCAGCTCAGGTATAGCTCGTTACGGTGGGTTAAAGCGGATGGCGGCACTGGCGTGTGTGTTCATTTCTGTCTCAGTTTGCCACACCGTGAGGGCCCCGAGGCTCAGACCCCACCAGGCTGCTGACAGCAGCCACCTGAGTTGAAGGCAGAATCCCTAGGAAGAAGGAAATGAGCTCCTGACGGCTGGCCTCTCCAACTCCAACCTCTGATGCCAAGGGCTCAGTTGAAGAAGCAGTTTTGGAAAACACATTTCCGAAATCACCGGTCTGTGTATTTTTATTAAGTCCACGAATTTTGCCTTGATCCAGGACGGCCGTCCTGTTCTCTCCTCTGCTCATTGGCTTCCTTCTCCTGGTCCTCAGGGTCAGCTGGTCCCAAGCATCTCCCAGAGCTTCCAAACCTGGCTGATCCCCAAGATACTTTGGCACATGTTGAGATGCATTGTTGGGGGGCTGAGATGGCACGTGGGCGTCTATATTATTAAGAGGCTCCAATGACCACCCTGATGATCAGAAAAGTTTGTGAAAACCCTACTGTGGTACCTACAGTCTTAATGTTGTTCAGTTGCTAAGTCGTCTCCAACTCTCTGCAACCCCACGGGCTGCAGCACGCCAGGCTTCCCTGTCCTTCACTGTCTCCCAGAGTTTACTCAGACTCAGGTCCTTTGAGTTGGTGCTGCCATCCAACCATCTCACCCTCTGTTGCCCCCTTCTCCTCCTGCCCCCAGTCTTTCCCAGCCTTGGAGCCCTGCACAGAGACGCACGTGCACACAGACACATGCATGCCTATGAGCAGAAGAACCAAGGTGAGGCCAGGCAGTTCCCCATTCAGACCATCTGCACCAATCATTCCCGTTACCTACCAGCTCTTCCCTTTAATAAAGCGTCTGGGTCCCTGACCAGCACCCACCTGCAAGGCTCTTCTGTGGAGCGTGGCCACTTGGAGTGATGGTGCTGGGAGTTGGGCTTTGGGTTCTTCCTCTAGTCCTGAGTGACCTTGGACAAGTTCCTTCTCTCTGTCTCCTTCTGGGCCTCAGTTCCCCACAGATGACATGAAAGGGTGAATTCACTGAATGGTTTTCAAAATAGACTTGGAGAGCCCTGAGTTTTCCATGAGTGTGGGTTGGCAAACTATGACCTTCTGGCCAAATTCAGCCCTCTGCACATTTATATAAATAAGATCTTACTGGAGCACTGGCCATGGTATTATTATTTTTTTACATACTGTCTGTGGCTCTCCAAAGGCATGAGTCAAAGATAGAATTGAGTAGTAGAGCCAGAAACCATGTGACCCCATTTATCAAGGGTTCCAAGACCTCCCACCCTTATCATCCTACATTCAGTAGAAAGGGGTTAGCAAGACGTAGAAGCTCCTGGTACCCAGTAGCTCAATAAATGTTTGCTGAATGAATGTAAGAGGGAGGGCTATATTTGCTTTTAAAGAAATGTTTTGTTGCTTTAGCAAGAAGTCTAAAAACCTCCAGCTTACCAGATCTGTGAGCTGTAATAATTTTTTTCTCTGTCAGTAACAGCCAAGACATGGATATGTTTGTTGTTTGTTGTGTTGTTGTTCAATCACTAAGTCACGTCCGACTCTTTGTGACCCTATGGACTGCAGCATGCCGGGTTTCCCTGTCCTGTACTATCTCCTGGAGTTTGCTCAAAGTCATGTCCGTTGAGTTGGTGATGCCATCCAATCCTCTGTCGTCCCCTTCTCCTCCCACCTTCAATCTTTCCCAGCATCAGAGTCTTTGCCAGTGAGTCAGCTCTTCGCATCAGGTAGCAAAAGTATCGGAGCTTCAGTGTCAGTCCTTCCGATGAATCTTCGGGGTTGATTTCCTTTGGGATGGACAGGTTTGATCTCCTTGCAGTCCACGGGACTCTGGAGAGTCTTCTCCAGCACCACCATGCGTGTAGCTCCACCAGAAAGCAGTAGTCACAGCTGATTGTCTCGTGCATAGATGAGGATAGTGATCCCAAAGGGAAAGGCGAACAGCACTCCATGTAGCTAGTGTTTTTGAATACTAGCTGGGTGTGTTGCAAAAAGGGCTCAGCGTGGATGGAAAGGGAGATGGGAGCAGCCCTAAACCAGCTCTCTATCTGCTCTGGGGGCTGAAAGGCAGGCAATGGAGTGTACAGGCACGCTGAGTGTGTGTAAGGGTTTTGACGGTTCCTCCACCTTCGGAGCCTATGCAAAGCTTGTCTCCTTGTGCTGAGAGAGGGCAGCCCATGAGCAGGGCAGCAAAGTCACAGTGCCCCAGCTAAAGCGTCCTCTTGGCAGGCAGAGAGACTCAGATCAGAGAGGCTGGGACACTTGCCTGTGACCACACGGCAGCTGAGCAACCCAATGAGGACTTAGATCCCAGAGTCCCTGGGTTCTAGGCAGGACAACTCCTAAATGAAAGAAGATGAGTATCCATACCACCCAGTTACAATTGGGTACGTGTTCCAGACCATGAAGAAGCAAAGGGTACTAATTTTTTTTTTCACTTCTTAAAACTATTTTAATATCCTCTCCTCCACACCTCCCCCCCAAATTGGGAAAGGCCAAAACAGTCTGGGTGGGTTTAATTACCAGTTGATGCACATTTTTTGTCATTGTTTAAAGTAAATCGACATTGTGGCAATAAGGGATTATCCTTGGAAAAAGTGAAACCCATATTAACAAAGTACGTCATGGAAGAACTCCGCTTGGTGATTTCACTGGCTACTTACACGTCTAGAAAAGGTCACCATTCTGCCTGTTCCCTGGGGCTTATCCATGATATGGAATGAGGCCTTGCCCACAGGCCTTGCCCACACTGAACCAAGTCCTGAACCCAATACAAGCATACATGTCAGATACTCAGTATGTAGAATGAGCAAGACCCCCTTCCCTACAGGGGGGCCCACCGTCTGGTGCAAGAAAGCAGAGTCCCCTCTCTTCACCCTGGTTCCTCTCCCTGTGAAAAGAGGGACGTGGGGTTGGGCAAGATCACAGCCTCCTGCTTCCTTTCCATCTGTTGAGGAGAAAGGGGCAGCTTGTTACTGATGACCATCCTTGTGCCAAAGCCAGGGGCCGATCAGCCTTTTCTACGTCCATCCCAGGGGATGGGGAGCAGCTGCACTCATGCCGTCACTTTCCCTCTCTTGCCTTCCCTTTCCCTCTCTTGCCTTCCCAGAGGCTTGCTGGGTGGGGGCTTCGGGGATGGGGGTGGCATTGCTGCAGGCATTGGACAGAACCCCCAAGTTGCCTGGTCTCTTCTGCAGCCTGC